TTGCTGAGATAATAGATTCAGAAGCCGGACTGCTTGGATTCAGTACTCCTCTGCCTGTCTTGGTTTGGCCCTCTCTCGGGTGCGGCAGGAACATATGCTTCTCTGGGGCTTGGAGGGACACAGAGAGCCTCAGAGACACAGGGCCACTTGACAAGACACCAGGCAGCCATTTCTGCAAAGCATCATGCCCTTTCCTTAGCTCCACCCAATAGGAAGGATGGGCACAAGTCCCCTCTGTTTTCAGGTTCCCCAGGCCTGTGTGGGGGTTCCCCTCGGGTCTCAGCACCACCAACCCCGTCCAGGGCCCCAGACCTTCCCCGAGGACCCTCCAGCATCCCTGCTCTCCCCTCCTCCCTGACTTCCACTGCTCCCTCAGGCTGAGGAGTCGTCGTTGGTTTATTTGGGGACAGGACAGCCTGGTTTTTGCACATATCCCTCTAAGTCTGTTTCTTCTTGGATTTGCAGCTCAAAGGCCAAGAATCTGACCGGCTTGTTCACTGCCTTCTTACTGGGTTATTACTTGTCTCAGGCAGTAGTCTGAGGCAGTGGAAGAGGGTGGCAGGGATGGTAGGAGATCATGAAAAGGAAAAGCACTCAGGCTACAGTGTCAAATTATCACTCTGCCATCAAGCCTGCCAATAACTTAAGTAGAAACCGAATTTACTGGACGCCGCTCAGGCACCTCACATGGGTGTGGGAGGAACTTGAGCACCCAGGACTGGGGGGCTAATTCGGGGCTCTTGGTGAGGCGCACGCACAGGGCTCAATCCTCATGACTTTCGATCTCTGGGATTCTTTTTTTTTTGTTTCCCAGAGAGAATTTTTGTTTGACTGAGCTTGGGTCAGGTGTCTAAGCCATGGAGCCATCAGCTCTGGCCAGGGGACAGGGGCACTGTATTTAAGTAAAGCCAGTAGCCATAACCGGCCTCTTTAATCAATGACTGAATGAAAACATTCGTTCCTTGTTTATGCCAGTTTCAGTGCAGGTGTTTCTGGTCGTTGGGCCCAGGCTCCCTTTTTCTTGTGGCTTCACCATCATTAGGGTCCCTGATGGGGGAAGAGAAGATCATATGTGAAGTATTTTTTTTTCCCCCTAATTGTGGTAAAATACACAGGATACCCGCTCACCATCGTAACCGGTTTTTTAACTGAAGTAGAGTTGACACAGTGTTACACTGGTTTCAGGTGTACAGCACAGGCTGGGACAACTCTGTACCTTATGCTGTGCTCACCGCAGCGTCGGTACCATCTGTCCCCATACAGCCTCTTACAGTAGCACTGATTGTGCTCCCTGTGACTCATCGTTCCATACAATTTTTTTTTTTTTTTTTTTAGAGAGAGGAACTGGGGTTGGGGAGGGGCAGAGGGAGAGGATCTTAAGCAGGCTGTACGCCCAGCGTGGGGCTCACGGCCCTGAGATCACGACCTGAGCTGAAATCAAGAGTCAGGTGCTTCACCGGCCGAGCCTCCCGGGCGCCCCCGTCATAACAATTTTTAAGTGTGTCGGTTGGGTGGCATTAAGTACAGTCCCATTGTGCAACCAACACCACCGTCCACCTCCAGAACTCTTCATCTTGTTAAAGTGAACTCTGTCCCCATAAAACATGAATTCTTCATTCCCGCCCCCACCCCCGGGCCCCGGGCAACCATCCTCGTCTCTGAATTTGACTGCTCGAATACCTCATGTCAGTGGAATCACCTGGTATTTATCCTTTTGTGACTGGCTTATTTTGTTTAGCATGACATCTTCAAGACTCATCCCCGTTTGTAAAATGTGTCACAACCTCTTTTCCTTGTGCAGGCTGAATAATATTCCATTTTATGTATAGACTGTTCATCCACTGGTGGGCACTTGGGGTTGTCTCCACCTCCTGGCTATTGCAAATGACGCTTCTGTGAACATGGGTGTACAAATGTGTCTCAGACACCCTGCCTTCAATTTCCTTGGCATACTCCCAGAAGTGGAATTGCTGGATCATATGGTAATTCTATTTTTAATTTTTTGAGGAACTGCCATCCTGTTTTACATAGCGGCTGTACCATTTTACATTCCCACCAACAGTGCAAAGGATTCCAATTTCTCCACATCCTTGCCAACACTTGTTATTTTGTTTTCTTAATTTTATTTTGTTTTTGATAGTAGCCATTTCAGTGGGTATGAGATGGTGTCTTGTGAGCCCTGGCAGGTTTTTTTTTTTTTTTTTTTTCTTTTTCTGTAATGCCAGTGCCTGACTTCAACTTTGATTGCTTGAGGCATTCATTTCAAAGAGGCAAACAAATTTGTCAGCCACACGGAGCCGGGCCACCTCCTCCACAGTTGAGGCTCTTTTGTTTTAGAGATCTTGATTGATTTTCAATAGCTGACCTTTTGGGCCACTTGTCTTTTCTCTTCCCGTGCTTTAAATTTCTGCTCTTATGTTTTAAATTCACCAATAAAGAGTGAGCCCTGAACGCTTAGGCCCCCACCCTTGACCCCAATAAAAGCAGAACCCCTGGTCTGTGCTCTCTCTCGTGCCCCCCTTCCCATGACCTCGCTGTGTAGCCCCAGGTGTACTGGGCAGTTTCCCAGGTCTTGTAGGTAATAAGCCTTTATTTCTTTAAAGTTTCCTGATGATTGTTGCTGAGGGGCATCTTACAATCATAGTAAGAACCACAAGGGTTGGTCCAGTCCTGACATTGGTTTGAAGAGGGGAGATGTCTGTGGCAAGCACACGGTGGCCCAGGTAAGTGCCCCAGGCATTTCTAGGCTTTGGCATTACTATCATTGGCTGAGGCTGACAAAAAACGGATGGCATGGGGGTTAGGCCTGGAAGGGGCCTGTATCCCTTCAGCTCACATTGGCCACACTTGCTTACAAGGCTAGGAGACAGATTAAGCTGTCTCTCCAGGAGGAAGAGATGAGCAGAGCATTCCCCACACTCAGAAAAGCATCCCGGACTTCCAGGAGCCCACCTGCATAGTGGGACCAGTCCTGGACAAGGGGAGGGTATTGTATGCCATGGCAGCCGCCTGAAAGGTGTCTTCCACAGGCAGACCTAGGTTCAAATCCTGCCTCTCCACCCGATCACTGTGTGACCATAGGCAAGTGGCTTTCCCCCGCTGAACCCCAGTGTCCTTGATGTTAGCTAAATAAAATCATGCCCGTTTCCCTAGAAGCACTGCAGGAGTCACACCAGAGGGTATGGCTCATGAGGATAGGACTTGAAGAAGCCCTGGAGCCCCGAGGGCGCTGGCACGTTGTAAGCCCTTAGGACTGAGGTACCCAACCTGAAGTAGGTGGGCCAGGGACTGCGTGTGTCTTGTTATATTGTCCTCTTTAGTAATTTCTTCAGGAGCAACACATTTCCCCAGCAAAATGGTCGGTTCTTGTGTACAGGGTCTTGTCCCTTGGGAAAGGCAGACCAGTGGTTCAAAGCAGGAGGGGACACACGTGTGGAGTGGATCCCCACACCCCACCTTCCTTGGAAGCTCTTCCTGCTCCTTCAAGGCTGAGATCCTAGCAGGTTTCCGAAGAGGGGGGCTTTGGTCGGCGGGGGATGCTCTGGTCCGGCAGCGAACCAAGCATACTGGGCCCTCGAGGCCCCAAAGCGGTTTCCTCCTCCTGCTCAGAGACCTCCCTGGCTGCTGCCGGGCAACCTGGCACATAGTAGGCACTTGTTAAAAGTCCGCTAGTGTTCTTGGGACCTGCCCAGGTGAAAAGTCACCAGGGATTGGCATTGGGAGTATTGTATTCAAGCGCTGACTGCCCTGGGAACTCTGTGGCTTTAGGCGGAGCAGGACCTGGGCCTCCTCATCTGAACAGTGGTGATAAATATGAAGAACCAACCTCCTGGGATTGGAGCGAGGGCCAGATGAGGAAGTGGGCTGCCGGTGCTTTGCTCCTAAAGATAACAGTACTCATCTCATTTAATACAACAGACCTAGGAAATGTGAACATTCTTATTCCCATTTCAGAGATGAGAGAGAAAAACTAACTCAAAATTGGCTGAAGCAAAATAATAATAATTTGTAATAATAATAGTTGTTACTGACTTATGGAACCAAAAAAGATGTATCTTGCTTCAGGTAGAACTTGATCCAGGATCTCACGCAAGGCCACCTGTCTGATGGCTTCCGGATGGAAGCGAGATGGCTCCAGTCTTCTGTCTGAGGTTCAAGTCTGGTGGGAAGAGAGAGCTTCTCACTCCCTGAAGTTCACACAAAGCTTCTAACCAGATTTCTGTGGGCTAAATTGGGCCACGCTCAGATCTCTGAGCCAGCACTGGCCAAGGGGAGGAATGTGCTGATCGGCCAGACTGCGCTCATACCCAGACCCTGGAGCCTGCTGTGCTCTGCTCCATGGGAATCAGTGCCTTGGGGAGGGGGCTCTTCAAAGCAGATTTGAGGTCTCATTCCCAACAGAAAGGGCAGTGGCCTTTGGGCAGCCCTGTAGCAGCAACAAATGCAGGCCTCTGAGGTCGAGCCACTGGTCCTATGCATCTCAAACGGTCAGGTGCAAACAAGTCTGCGGGGGCTCTTGTTAAAAGGCAGACTCTGATTCAGCAGGTAGGGGTGGAGTGCGGTGCAGTTTTGTTCCTGATTAGCTCCTGGGCGATGCTGCTGGTCTCTGGACCACACAACCAGTGTCACGGCACTAAGCCACGGGAACCAGGCACTGACAAGCATCACCTCTCATGCTTCTTACCACTACCCCAAGAGGCAGGTACCATCAGACCCATTTCACAGAGGTGGAACCTGAGGCTTGGTGAGGAGAGGCGAGGGGATGGTACAGGACACAAAAGCTAAGCCCTAGAATTTTGGAGTCGAAGTGGAGATGTTAGGGCCATGAACAAAGAAGGAAGGAGGGAGACACAGGACAGAGGTCTGCCTGAGGCCGCGTAATGGGTGTGGACAGAATCCCCGGGGACTGAGGGGAGCTCTGGAGGTGACTGCCTGAGTCATCAGAGTCCTCAGTCAGCGCCGGGGAACATTTGGTTTTGTCTCCTCTTTCTTTCTTGCAGCCTTAACTATGGGGGAGTTTGCCTGGCGTCAGATGCGCAGTTCAGCGACTTCCTCGGCAGCATGGGGCCAGCGCAGTTTGTGGGCCGCCAGACCCTGGCCACCACGCCGATGGGTGAGTGCCCCAAGACCTGTTCTGGGGGCGGGGCACCGCAGGCCCTGTGTCTTTCTCCTCGCCCCCTCTACCTTGGCTGCATCCACTGAGCACCCAGCTTAGAGCCCTGTCTGCGCCCGCCAAGCCCTCAGCAGAGCCCGGGCACTCATGTTGGAATTATTTCTGGTCTTGTGTTGGGCTGGGAGAAGGGGAAGGGGGTTTCATCTCTAAGTAGAGAGGAGGGGCTGAGTCCTTGGGTGAGCTTATGAGCCACTTCTCGGTCCCTTTGCTTGGGGTCTCTTGCAGGGGATGTGGAGATCGGCTTGCAGGAGCGGAATGGCCAGCTTGAAGTGGACATCATCCAGGCTCGGGGACTGACAGCCAAGCCAGGCTCCAAGACACTGCCAGGTGTGGGGACTGCTCTTCCTTCTGCAAGGCAAGGGTGGACGTCGATGAGGTCCTGAAGGGTATCTGGGTCTAGAAGAGAGAAAATTGGGCCCAACTACGGGGGGACCCCTTTGTCCCAACTCTAGTGACTCACATGGGACTAGTGGTTTAGGGTTTGTTCTGGGGACGCTCTTGAGATTGTCAGTTGACTTTATTGGTCTTCCCCACTGGTTTGAGCTTCTGGAGGACAGAAGCTTTCCTGTGTATGGCTATACCCCCATACGTGGGTGCCTGGCACACCCAGGCTGACCGAATGTGTCTGTGGTGACTGTGGAAGCCGGGGAAGGGGTGAGCAAATCAGGGACTGAGAGACGAAAGAGGTAAGAGCAGAGTGAGCAAAGGCAGGGAGGAGGCAGGCAGGCCCCCCCCCCCCAGGGGGTGGAGTAGTTCCCACCCAATGCTGGCTACACCCCATCATCTGTATCTACCACCCCTGCGGCTGCCCCCCCAAAACTCCAGAGGGGGGCAGTCTGACCCTCAGCAGGGGGTGGGCAGCCTTGCTCTGCTGTGCCATGTGCCTACCATTTGAGGGCTCAATTGGAAGTCACCCTGCTGGCCTCTGTCCTCAGCGGCCTACATCAAGGCCTACCTGCTGGAGAACGGCGTCTGCATTGCCAAGAAGAAGACCAAAGTCGCTCGCAAGTCGCTGGACCCACTGTATAACCAGGTGCTGCTGTTTCCTGAGAGTCCCCAGGGCAAAGTCCTGCAGGTGAGGGGCCCTGGGCGGGGGGAAATGTGCGCAGTTCCTGAGGGAGAGGGGAGCGCTCCTGGGAAAAGGGGCGGTCTCCAGAGGGCCTCCACTGGAGGAAGTAGAGCACCGCGGTTGATCTGAGCTCTGTAGTACAACTTGGAACAGGTTCCTTTCTGAGCCTCAGCGGCCTCATCTGTAAGAAGGGTTGCTCGCGTTAACCTCCAGAGAAGGTCTGCGGTAGCTGCTGCCATTGTTCTTGTTATCCACCATCAACACAGCCATTCTGGAAGCCCGGGGCTTGGCCTGGAGCACAGAGATCATCGACTGGGAGGCGTTAAGGATCCAGAGAGGCGTGTGGTCCCCTGGCCCTTAAGGAGGGTCCTCAGGGTGACTTAGACGTGGAGCTGGAAATAGCCGCCCATCGTGGGCGTCGGCTGGGCCCAGGTCGGATGCCTGCAGGAACCGCGTGCCTGCTGCCTGAGAGCCGCCACTTGGGCACCTCTAGCTGGTGCCTCCGTGTCTTGCTTCTAACCAGGGCAGGCAAAGCGAATGAGGGCAGGCCCTGAGCGTTGCAAATGGCCAAGACAGCGGGACTTTCACCAAACTGGGAAGCCCAGGCCTGTCCAGGGCAGATTTTTTTCAACCTAAGGGTTAAGACCCATCCATGTGCTGTGAAATCAATTTAGCGACTCTCAGCAAGTTGTTTGCTTGTTTGTTTAACGGAATGGAAAGAAAACATTTGTCATTCTTAGGCAAGTTGTAGTTGGTGAGGCACTTGCTTCAACTGGGAATCCCACGTACTTGCTGCGTAATGCTGTAAAGGCCTTACTGTACATCCCTGTCAAAAAGCTTGGAAAAAGTCTTCCAGCCTAGAGGCATGCAAATACAATGTAAAACCCCAGAAGACCATCTAGGGGCCACATCTGGTCCACCAGAGGAAGGAAGTGCCTTCTGGCCTGAGCATCTTTGGAGAAGCTCCAGAGAACGGCCCTGTCTGGGATGTGGAGGGGGTGGGGCGACAGACATCTGAATGGGGGGGGTCCTTGCCACTGAGCTCTCTGACTGACGTCAGAGTGGGACAGACCCACCAGCACCATGCATGAGATCCAAACACCAGCTATAGTGTGTGCAACAGCTGCCGTACCCAAGTACCACGGATTGGGTGGCTTACACGATAGAAATTTATTTCTCATGGTTGTGGAGCTAGAAGCCCAAGATCAAGGTATTTAGTTTCTTCCAAGACCTCTCTCTTTGGCCTGCAAACGGCTACCTTCTCACTATGGGTCCTCACATGGTCTTTTTGCTCTACCCACATGCATCCCTGTGGTCTCTCCGTGTGTCCTCATCCTCCGTGTGTCCTCTTATAACGCCAGTGGGATTGGATTAGGGTCACCCTAATGGCCTCATTTGAATCTAAGGCCCTGTCTCCAAATTAGTCACATTCTGGGGGCTAGAGCTTCAACATGAATTTTGGGGGAACACAGGTGAGCCCATAACCCCGATTTAAAATGAATCCGTCCATGCACTAGAGATGGACTTTGATCAGCTGCCCAAGGAGCTCTGAAGACTGGTCAGGTGAGCCACCTCAGGCAAATGATTTAACTTCTCCCAGACTCTGTTGAAACAACTGAAATGGGAGCATTTTGTAGGTTGTTGGGAAGGTCGACTGTAAGGCCAGCGTCACCTTGGGGCAGGCAGTTTCTGACACCAGTGCACAGTAGTGCGGGCTCACGCTATTCTCCCCCCCCCCCCCCCGTGTGCTGGAGGAGCCGCTGAGAGTGTACAGGGAGCTTTCACATCCACTCCTTTGATCCTTACCCGCGAGGTAAACTGGGGATAACTTCATTTAGAAACAAGAACTCGAGACCCCGGGAGGTTAGATGCCTTGCCCACACCACCAAGCCAGGACTGGGATTGGAACCCACTTGTGTCTGACCCCAGAAGCTGTGTGTGCACACCGACAGGCTCTACGGAATGAGCCAGCCCACCTTCATATAGGGGACGGAGTTAGAACCTGAGCCACAGGAGAGCACACGAGGGTCCTGCAGCCACAGGAATCCCCCCACTGGCTGCCCCAAGAGAGAGTGTTGGCCACACAACAGGGAAGGCACCGCAGAAAGGAGTCTGTTGGAAACAAGGAGGGGCGTCAGTCAGCCACTTTTAAAACTTTGTTTCACGTGAGGGGTTTCCAAGGATCTGGAAGCTGAGGGCCTGGTGGGGGTGGGGCTGGGGGGACCAGCAGGGGACTCACCATGGAGGGCCAGCCCGCAAGGCTTGGCGTCGGGGACAGAGGAGGGTGTGGAGGGAGGAACGGAGGAGGCTGGATGGGAGGCAGGAAGCCAGTGGGCTAGGCGAGCAACAGCGGTGGCCCTAGAGCCAGGAAATTCGGGTCAGGCTCGAGCCATTCTAAGGCGGTGGCCACCCCAGGACTCAGAAATGCAGCGGACATGGGGGTGACCTGGGGTCTGGTTCTGGGCCTGTGAGCGGCACCGGCAGGATCTGACCCGCAGTATCTCTTGACCCGCAGGTGATCGTGTGGGGGAACTACGGGCGGATGGAGCGGAAGCAGTTCATGGGTGTGGCCCGTGTGCTGCTGGAGGAGTTGGACTTGACCACCCTAGCCGTGGGCTGGTACAAGCTCTTCCCCACCTCCTCCATGGTGGACCCAGCTGCGGGCCCCCTGCTCCGGCAGGCGTCCCAGTTGTCCCTCGAGAGCACCGTGGGGCCCTGTGGTGAGCGATCTTAGGGCCGGGGTTGGGGGGGGCTCCCCGACAAGGCCTGGAGAACGCCCAGCCCCAACCTGGGACCCCAGGCCCAGGGGCACATTGAATACAGGAGGACGGGGTTCTCCCCCACAGCGGGGAAGCAGAACGGGGAAACCTGCCCCCCCAGGGCCCCTCCTCACCCTCTCTTTGCCTCCTACCCCCTGAGACCTTCCCTCTCCCAACGGGATTGGCTGCGCTTTGGACTTGGCCGGTTCTTGACCTGGTGGATGCGGCTGCAATCCGGAGAAAGGAAAGACTGAGGTGGCAGAGCAAACCATTCTCCTGTCCCAGACACTGTCCAGCGGCTCCCCCTTTTTTGCCTCCTCGGAAGCTCGCTGCCCGGAGCCAAGTCCAGAACCCAGCGGCCATCTCCATGGTGCCAATTACCAGCAAGTGTCTTTCCTGCGGCACCGGGTTCAGGCAGCTACTCCTGCCCCAAAGCCGATGGGGCAGCTTTGCAAGGATCCGGAGCCAGCTCCGGGGGGCCCAGAGCCTCCCGCTTGAAGAGGAGCTCGGCCTCCCTCCGCCTGCCTGTGGAAGGAGCTTTGCCGCAGCCTGTCTGAGTCCATCTGTCTGTCCCTTCCTGCCTGCCCCTCTTCCAGTGGCTCTAGGAATTGGGGTCCAGCAGGGACCAAAGGAAAGGAGGCGGTGCCCTGGGCCTGGCACAGACCCCCAGGGTGCCCTGCTCCGTGGGATTGCAACAAGCTAGTTTGGAAATGGTGGACTGGAAAGAACTGGGTTGTCTGCATTTTGGTGGAGGAGCTGCGGGACCTTGATTTTTGAGAACCCCAAGTCCAGAGAGCTCACCATCTCTGAATTTTGGGGACGCTGGATTGGAGAGGGAGTCTGAGTAAAGTTGGGATTGGGACTGGTGGTGCCAAGGCAAGGGTTTCTCAAATAGGAGAGTCCCTCCTCGTTGGATGAGGTCAGAGGTCTTCTTGTCCACCCCTCTGCCTCTAGGCTCGGGGTCTGGGGAGGCAACAGAGCTTCCCTATTTTAGTCTTTTTAAACAAACCATCCTGTACTAAGGGCAGAACCCACTGCCCCGGCCTCAACTACCTTGGCTCATGAGTGTAAGCATCAGGAGATTCCTTCTCAAGCAGGCCTGGGTAGCTGCCTTCCTGGCCCGGCCCTCCCCGAGGCCTACGGAAGCCCTTTTGCATGCTGGGAGGACACAGGCTGGCCCCTCTTTGTAGAAGCACATTTCTGCCACCTCCCGCTGGGAGGCACCCAGCAGCCCACCACCCCTCATTACCCAGTCCCTGCTGTGTAGGGCGTAGTCCAGGTTAGCTGGGTAGAGTTAGTGTTCCAGGCCCTGGGGCCTGTTCTTAGCTTGCATATAGTCCTCATAGAGCTCCAGGACGGGGTGGAGAGGAGACGGCCGTCTCCCCACTGGTCTGGGTCTGGGCCTGGAGCCTGGGTCATGGGAGGCCAGCCCTTCTTCCTCTTCCCTCCCCCCACCCCCAGGGTTGTAGCTGGAGCTGCCCCTTATACTCAGATGTTCTGATGTATTATCCTTGGTTCTGGTTTTATTTGTGAAGCACTCCTGAGGGTTGTGGGCCTCGGTGGAGAGGCCTGGGCTCCATCAGACGATGTCTTCCACCGGGATGCCCAGCTGTGTTTAGTCCTGCCTCCTTGGCCTCACTCTAGGCTGTTGACCAGGTGATTTCTTCCACCTGGAACCCCTTCCCGCCTCTCCCTTCCCTCCCCTCCCCTCTACCTGTTTAAGCCCTGGGGAGCCTTTAATGTTCTGGATGAGTTATATCCCCTCCAAGGAGCTTCCCATGCTGCACTGGGAAGGGGAGACGGAGATGCCCCTTTCTTTTATCGATGAGCTCTCTTGAGCTTCCTGGGATTGTGCTGGGTGGAATCCCAAGGCTGGGGCAGGAGGCAGCAGGGCTCTCTGGATGGCCTCCAGTCTGAGGCCCAGAATCAGCCCCTCCCCTGTTTGTTTTTTTTAACCAGTGTGATTTCTCTGCTGTTCGTTTATTACTCACCATTTGGAATATTTTGAGCCAGGAGAGCGCCTTCTCTCTCTAGCCGTCACTGCTCTGCTTGTTCAGGGGTAGCTTTTCAAAAAACGGGGCAGAGCCTGGCTGTCCCAAACAGAGGGAGAGAGGGCTCGGTGCACCCCCCCCCACACACACCTGGCCCGAGCCCACCTTCTGGTGTCTGCACAGCCTTTATAAAGAGAGAGAGCACGCTCCAAAGCAATAACAACACCCTGGGGGTGGTCACCAAGGGCCTCCCTCAATGACTTTCTTGTTTGTTCTGTGAAATCTCAGTTCACCTCCTGGTGGGGTGGGGTGGGGGCTGGAGCCCTGTTTCTTTGTATAATTGTTGTGAGCACGTGCCCTGCTTCCAAGGGGCTCTGACCATTTGGTGTGGGAACCACTATCTGGCCTCACCAAGAGATGGGGGTTTGGGGAGGGGGTGACTGTTCTCAGTATTAGCTTTGGGGAACCTTCAAGCCCAGCCTGTCCCTACTGCTGCCTGATCCTTTGCCCACTCACACTCCATCTGGAGAGGAGCAGAGACAGGGAATTGTAGAGATTTGGGAGCCGGGAGCTGGGGTCTATAGGGGCTGATTCTTTTTTCAATCATTGGGCCAAAAGTCACATGCAGGGGTACTGTGGGAGGAAGTCCCCATTTCCCTTCGCCGGAATCTGCGTTTCATACAGATGGGAAAGGGCCTTTGGGACCATTAGTGAAGTCCATTTTACAGATGAGGACCGAGGCTTGGCAAGGCCTGCCTCTGGGATCACCTGTGAATTCAGTGGCACCCCCAGCCTGGGCTTCCTCCCACCCAAGGCTGAGCTGGAGCCAGAGCAGGACCAGACGGGGCCACCATTTCCCACAATACTTCCTCCTCCCTTCTCTCTGTAGAGCCTCCCAGCGGCCCAGAAAAGACGGGCAAATTGTAGCCCATCGGAGAGGTGAGGCAGTTAAAGCCCAGAATCAGGAAGTGATTTGCCCAGGACCCCTCAGCAAATGATCAATGGGGACAGAACAGGGGCTCTGTCCTGCTTCCCTCCTTCCTGGGACCGGAAGCCACTGCCCAGGCATGTCTGTCATGATAAATATTTGTGGCCTTTAAGCCCTGGGCCACCCAGCCCTGCTTGGTTCCATCTCCGAGGGCCCGGGTTTGGGGGAGAGAGTTGCCATAGAGACTAAGCTTTCCTGGGGTCTGGCCAAGCTGACTGAGGGTACACAGGATTTGGTCTAGGCCTCAATGTGTGGGTAGGGGCTCCCGCTGAGGGAGAGGTCATAACCCCCTAGGACCAACTTGAGGGAGGCGAGAAGTACCATTCCCTGCCTGGGGCTGTGTGAGAGTGAGGTGGCTGTGGTACACCTCATCTTAAGCCTCACAAAACCTTCACACGTAACCACATCTGACCTTCCTGTAGTGCTTTTCAGACTTCTGCTTTCAAAGTGCTTTTACGTCAAGTACATCCTCCCAAGAGCCCCTGGGCAGTAGAGGGGGCCAGCATTATCAGCCCCTCTTTAGCGAGGAGGGAGCTGAGGCCCCGGGAGGGAAGGCACCTGCTAACGTCCCACTGTGGGGTCATGGCTGAGGCAGGACTAGAACTCAGTTCTCCAGCAGTTGAGAGCTGTATGAGGAGGCAAGGCAGACCGTTTAGGGGGTGGTTACACACTTTACAAGCTGATTCACCATCCGGTTCCTTAAACCAGGAGCTCCTGGGCACCCTTCAGTGTTCAGAGGTGGCGCTGAGCCCCCCGCCCTTTGGAGCACAGCTGTCGCGTCAGGCAAGGCCACCTGCATTTATTTATTGAGCAGCAGCTCTGTGCCAGGCCCAGGGGACTGAGCCCCCTCCCATTCCCCGTAACGATCCCCTCGGCTCTCTGGGAGGGGCCCCTTGTCTGCATAGCAGCACCTCAGAGTGGACGGAAAGCGGCCATGTCCACAAGCTCATCTGACTCACACCCTGGCGGGCGGGGGGGGGGGGGGTTGGCCGACTGCCCATCGTACCCCTAGCTTCTCTGAGGGCGAAGTGGAGACTTGAACCCGGGGCCTCAGGCATCACATCTGGAACCCTTTCACTCTATGGCTGCCTCCTGAGGGGGTGGCAGGGAGGCCAGACCCCGGGTCCTTGGGCTGGGGGCCTTTCCATCCACCCACTTTTCCCTCACTCCCTCTCCGGGAGCAGGAGCTGCTCGGGACTTTGGGGAGGGAGGGTTTCCGGGGCCCCTGGGTTGGCGTGGGTCACGTTGCATTGTGTTCATGACCATGTAGCTCATGTTGAAAATTAAAGTTTTTGGCTTTTCTAACCCGGCTTGCTCTGCCTTGTGTTGGGAGTTCTGAGAAGCCAAGGGCAGGTAGTGTCTGAAGGAGCTGAGTGCTGCGTGATGCCAGTATGCCCCACCACGGGCACCTTAGGGGGCAGGGCATGTAACCCTTCTAGAGACGCACGGGGGTGGGGGGCGTGGGGGGCAGGATTCCAGATGAACCCAGTCATATTACAGAGGTGGAAACTGAAGCCCAGGTAGGGATGACATTCCCCAAGGTCACATGATGGGCAGTTCCCAGACGAGGGCTCTTCCCACAGCGTGCTCCTGCATCCAGGTGCCCCAGTGATGCGGTGGCTGTCAGCAAGGCCCCCCTCATCCTGCCGTGGCATGGCCAAGGACAAAGAGCTGCAGATCGGTGGGGGGAGGGTGTGCTTCATTCACACATGGGCCAATTTCACTCTACCCCAAATTGAGCAAGAGAATGAACGATCATTTAAATAGTGCAGATTTGCCCACCCCGCCCCACGGCACAGGTGTTTCCCTGCCGTCCGTCCATGGGACCGTGCTTCTCCTGCTGTGCGGGGCTGGCCTCACTGCTAGGGTCCCAGTGTTGAGAGCCGCCCATCTCCCCTGCAACACGGAAAGCCTGCCTCTTCTCGCAGCAGAAAGACGACCACCTGTTTCCACTCCAGGGGGCCAGCTGGTGACGCGGGCCTGGGAGAGCCTCTCCTGGGAGGCCATGCCTTCCTGAAACAATTTGGACCACAAGGGATTTGCACCTACAGGGCGACTTGGGAGTCGCGCTTGTGCTTATGGTGCGGCTTTAATGTATTTTGGGAGAGGAGCGAGGGGCTGGCCACAGAGGGGAAGGACAGACTGCTTGTGGGTGAAGACGGCCGTGAGGCCACGGCCGCTCACCCCTCTCCAGGCTCTGGAGAAGGTGCACTGACAGGTGACCCCGGGCCCCGGCCCGAGGTGGGCTGTCAGATGGACTTGCGCCGGGCCGGGGGCCTGCCCGCCCTGCTGCCGCCGCCCACAGCCCCAGGGCTCGAGGGGGGTGAGAAGCCCAGGTTGTCGCGGGCCCCCATCTGCAGCTGGTGCACGCGGGAGGAGACGGAGGTGGAGCCCCCGGCGCTCGCCGGCCGGCGGGGCGGGGAGCGGCCGCGGCTCTCGGGCGCCCCCGGGCGGAGCGGGCTGGGGCGGCGGGCGGCGCGCGGGGGCGCGTCGGTGCTGGCCGCCAGGAAGCGCAGGACCACGAGGTTGAGGAAGGCGCCGATGACCGTGAGCCCCAGGAGGATGTAGAGGAAGCTGAAGGCCACGTAGGGCGGGTTCCTCTGCAGTGCCTCGTCGCTCTGCAGCGCCACGAAGTCGCCGAAGCCGATGGTGGTGAGCGTGATGAAGCAGTAGTAGTAGGCGTGGAAGAAGGTCCAGCCCTCGAAGTGCGCGAAGGCGGCGGCCCCGAGGGCCAGGGTGGCGGCGCACACCAGCAGCCCGGCCACCACCATGTTCTCGGTGGACACGCGCGGCCGCCGCAGCCCCAGGCAGCGCTTGGCCGCCAGCAGGAGGCGCCGCACCAGCGCGTTCAGGCGCTCGCCCAGGCTCTGGAAGGTGACCAGCGTCAGGGGGATGCCCAGGAGCGCATAGAACATGCAGAAGACCTTGCCCGAGTCCGTGCCCGGCGCGGCGTGGCCGTACCCTGGAGGGAGAGCGGAGGGGAGGGGGGTGGTGAGCGCCGGCTGCGGCCGCCCTGCCCGGGCTCCCTCCCCAGCCCCGGGGCCGGCGCAGCATCTTGAAATGCTGCTTCTAACTAGGTCATCCCCCGCCTTTGAAACATGGCGTGGGTATCCCTAATCGCCCCAAATGGTAGACAGCCCACAGTCCCTCAGCCAGGGAAGGATAAACAACCTGCGGTACATCCGTACAATGCAGTTCTGTGCAGAACAGAAAGGCATGAACTAGGGTTACCTGCCGCCACAAAGGGTGGATCTCAGCTGCCTTATGCCGAGTGAAAGAAGCCAAGCTCAAAAGACTACATACTGTATGGTTCCATTGAAATGACATTCTGCAAGCATTCTGGCAAAACTGTGGGGACAGAGAGCAGATCTGTGGTTGCCAGCCATTGTGGCTGGAAGAGGGGGTAGGTAAACAGAAAGTGGCAAGACAAATTTGGGGGTGACGGAAGCCTACTCTATCTTGGTGGCGGCTGCAGTCGCCTGACAGGCCTTCATTTGTCAAAACTCGCAGAAGGCTGCTGCACTGGAAAATGGTGCATTTCACTGTGTGTAAATTATGCCTTGATTTAAAAATAAAGCAAAATCTTCCATGGTGCCCCAGTACCAGTTCTCACGTAGCGTCTGAGCTCCTTGGTGATCTGACTCTGCTCCCCCCTGTCCAGCCTCGCCCCATGTTGCTTCCCCAACCCGCAGGTCCCACCTCCCCATGCCTCTTCTCAAGGTTTTTCCTCCCCTGGATCACCCTCTCCCCCCATCCCACTGGTCCACGTCTCCTTCCCACATCCTGCTCCAAGCCAGCCCCCACTAGGCACTTCTTCAGCCTGGTGTAGCAATTCTTCCCTGTTGTAGGGGACCTACACGTGAGTGGGCGTCCTTGAATCCTGGACCACTGTGCCATCGCCGGGGAATGAACATTCCTGGAGAGAGGAGCGAAAACTTTCTTGGTATTCTTAAAGGGGTGCCTAACCCAGGAAAAGTCAGGTGGACCTTCCCCCAAAAGAACATACCTCCTCTAGCAAATGGGCACCATCTGCCAAAATGTAAACACACAAACCCTTGAGCCGTGCAGTTCCACGGTGAGCAAGTTAGTCCTCCAAAGTACACACGCGTGCAAAGTGAGGT